CGTTGACTTGGCATGCTTCATCCTGCAACCAACAGCCACCCCGCGCCACACATCAATGGCTTCTTATGGCCACTCTTGCAGCCAACCGGCACCCCAGGGCCACACATCAATGGCTTCTTATGGGCGTCCAAGTCTGCCGTTTTCCAGCCCTAAAACCCTCCAAACCCTTAAAACGCTCCAAACCCTCCAAACCCTTAAAACCCTCCAAACCCTTAAAAACCTTAAAACCCTTATTAAAACGTTGACTTGGCATGCTTCATCCTGCAAGCAACAGCCACCCCGCGCCACACATCAATGGCTTCTTATGGCCACTCTTGCAGCTAACCGGCACCCCAGGGCCACACATCAATGGCTTCTTATGGGCGTCCAAGTCTGCCGTTTGCCAGCCCTAAAACCCTCCAAACCCTCCAAACCCTTAAAACCCTCCAGACCCTTAAAAACCGTAAAACCCTTAAAAAAAAACCGTAAACCCTTCAATACGTGACTTGGCATGCTTTCATCCCTCACCAACACCCCAGCGACACACATCAATGGCTTCTTATGGCCACTCTTGCAGCCAACCGGCACCCCAGGGCCACACATCAATGGCTTCTTATGGGCGTCCAAGTCTGCCGTTTGCCAGCCCTAAAACCCTCCAAACCCTTAAAACGCTCCAAACCCTCCAAACCCTTAAAACCCTCCAAACCCTTAAAAACCGTAAAACCCTTCAAACGTTGACTTGGCATGCTTCATCCTGCAGCCAACAGCCACCCCGCGCCACACATCAATGGCTTCTTATGGCCACTCTTGCAGCCACCCGGTTCTTATGGCCACTCTTGCAGGCAACAGGCACCCCAGCCAACATGCACCCCAGGGCCACACATCAATGGCTTCTTATGGGCGTCCAAGTCTGCCCTTTGCTTCTTATGGGCGTCCAAGTCTGCCGTTTGCCAGCCCTAAACCCCTCCAAACCCTTAAAACGCTCCAAACCCTCCAAACCCTTAAAACCCTCCAAACCCTTAAAAACCGTAAAACCCTTAAAACGTTGACTTGGCATGCTTCATCCTGCAGCCAACAGCCACCCCGCGCCACACATCAATGCTTCTTATGGCCACTCTTGCAGCCATCCGGTTCTTATGGCCACTCTTGCAGGCAACAGGCACCCCAGCCAACATGCACCCCAGGGCCACACATCAATGGCTTCTTATGGGCGTCCAAGTCTGCCCTTTGCCAGCCCTAAAACCCTCCAAACTTCACCCTGCAGCCAACAGCCACTCCGCGCCACACATCCATGGCTTCTTATGGCCACTCTTGCAGCCGCTTCTTATGGCCACTCTTGCAGGTTGACTTGGCATGCTTCATCCTGCAACCAACAGCCACCCCGCGCCACACATCAATGGCTTCTTATGGCCACTCTTGCAGCGAACCGGCACCCCAGGGCCACACATCAATGGCTTCTTATGGGCGTCCAAGTCTGCCGTTTGCCAGCCCTAAAACCCTCCAAACCCTTAAAACGCTCCAAACCCTCCAAACCCTTAAAACCCTCCAAACCCTTAAAAACCGTAAAACCCTTAAAACGTTGACTTGGCATGCTTCATCCTGCAGCCAACAGCCACCCCGCGCCACACATCAATGGCTTCTTATGGCCACTCTTGCAGCCATCCGGTTCTTATGGCCACTCTTGCAGGCAACAGGCACCCCAGCCAACAGGCACCCCAGGGCCACACATCAATGGCTTCTTATGGGCGTCCAAGTCTGCCCTTTGCCAGCCCTAAAACCCTCCAAACGCTCAAACCCTCCAAACCCTTACAAACCGTAAAACCCTTAAAACGTTGCCTTGGCATGCTTCATCCTGCAACCAACAGCCACCCCGCGCCACACATCCATGGCTTCTTATGGCCACTCTTGCAGCTAACCGGCACCCCAGGGCCACACATCAATGGCTTCTTATGGGCGTCCAAGTCTGCCCTTTGCCAGCCCTAAAACCCTCCAAACCCTTAAAACCCTCCAAACCCTTAAAAACCGTAAAACCCTTAAAACGTTGCCTTGGCATGCTTCATCCTGCAAGACTGTGGGCTATCAAGACAGTCCCTAGCAACCTTTCGCACAAATAAAGCCTGCGTAGCTGCAGCGATCTCAACAGGAGACATGCGCATTAGAAGGTCTTGGATGTCTTGGGGTGTTTCACAGTCTTTCATCCTGGTGGCGTCGCCACAATGACGTCATGAGTATTCCCCAATTTCTATCATCATTCCACTTTTGCGAATGGAATGCATGTAATGTACTATATATATACATACGTATGTTTAACAATGTTTAGGCCTAGCCGTTTGCTGGGCTTCTTGAGTGGCTCTATGTCTGCGCACTTCTTCCTCCACCCTTGAAACGGGGTCGGCGGCACCAGGGCGTTAGCCCATTTATTCTTATATCATATTCTTTGCATTTCTTTTCATCCGGGATGGGACCCAGTCGTCCATGCTGTGCAACCTTTTTTGGAGCCGGTAAAACGACGTTGTTAAACTGCACAAGTTGGTGAAGCATTGCCACCACGAGTGGACTCCATGCGTGAACTGAGAAGTTGTTTTTGTTTGATTTCAATCTTGCCATCGAAAACACAATCAACAACTTCCCCCCAAAACATACCTGACGCTAAACTACCCAAATGACTAACAAACTCAGAGCACTCAGTTGATGGAGTGAAAGAAGTAAATGCGGTAGACCATGACATTGATGACCTCAGCATGGAAATGGTCGGGAGACCCATTCCTTGACCCATCATCTCCTGTGAGGTTGAGCCACTCTTGCACTGGGTCCAAGCACGAATGTGGGAGCCATACACGGCACTTGTTGTGATACCAATGCAACGCAGCCGGTCATGTCGGAGGGAAACGGGCCGTCTGACGGTTTCACAGCCACCAACTTTTTTGAAGGGGATTCCATTCTCTTTGGCACTGCGAGGTTGCATAAGTGGCAGACGACCCTTGCGCAATTGAGGAGCCATTTGGCCAATTAAGCTTACAGTAAGCAAACATTGTGTTTCTTGTAGGTCAAAACCCAGCAAACCCAAATGGATGTCAAACAGAATTCTATGTCAATCCCATGGACCAATGGAACCATCCATTCACCAGTGGGATTTCCTAACATTCACTGATTCTATGGCTATTTTCAGTGATGAATTTCCAATTGCGGGTTGTTAAATCCCCAAAAAGTCGTCTCTCAACCCTTCTTATTCACAAAAGTTTCCCCGGAATCGATCTTTTTCCTATTTTCCTCTGCTTTCAGGCCATGAAGTGGTTATCCCAAAACACTTGACCATCATTTAGCTTAGCAAACTATTTGCGAGAAATAAACAAGTAAAATAGTGGACATTTCGGCCAACATCCAGATCAAAACTACTACAGTAAATTTGGGTTTCAATTGTTTCATCTCCGAAACCCAGCCCAATGCCGAGACGAGTGGCATGCGCCCCGCAGAACAGGCCCAAGACCTTCCATTTCAGGGAGGGCGCCTGCGGCAGGGCTCCAGGTGAGTATACATAATATATATATATACATATAGATATTTTCTTCTGTATATATATATATATTCTGTATATATATATATATACATATTATACACACTATATGGTTAACATCAATCTCAAGTAAAAAAGTGTTAACAACCATAACATTGGTTGATACATCATGATAGTCACTTGTTAGAGGCCGATAACTGTTTTGGGAATTACTTTTTTTCCGTTTTGTTTTTCTTTGATCTGCTTTTCTGCCCGTTTTCCTTGCTACTTGCAGCATTTTGGAGCTGGAAGCTGCCATTTCTGTGCTTGCAACATTTTGGAGTTCGAACCCTCATTTTTCATTGTAGTTGCACCATTTTTGGTGCTCAAACCTTCATGTTGCATGGTATTTTGCGACTAGGGTTCATGTAGGGGTTGGTTTTACGGTTGTTTTAGGGTTTATTTAGGGTTGGGTTGGTTTTAGGATTGGTTTTAGGGTTGGTTTAGGTTTGAGAAGCGAAGGAGCAGAGAAGCAGGGAAAAGCAGAAAAGCAAAAAGCAGAGAAGCGGAACAGTGGAGAAGCAGAGAAGCAAATAAGCAAAGGAGGAGCAGAACAGTGGAGAAACAGAGAAGCAAATAAGCAAAGAAGCAGAACAGTGGAGAAGCAGAGAAGCAAATAAGCAAAGAAGGAGCAGAACAGTGGAGAAACAGAGAAGCAAATAAGCAAAGAAGGAGCAGAACAGTGGAGAAACAGAGAAGCAAATAAGCAAAGAAGCAGAAAAGTGGAGAAGGAGAGAAGCAGAGAAACATAAAAGCAGAAAAGCTGAAAAGCAACCGAGCAAAGACGCAGGGAACCAGAAATCCAAAAAATGCTCAAGTTACAGAAAAAAAACAGAAACTCCACCCCAAAATCTCATGATGATTCACAGGTGGTTTTTTTGGTCCATGGCACCATGGCATAGCCAGCCGCACCTCCACCGCCAGATCGGCGGACAACGTGCCATAGATGAATGCTAAGGAGGTCACCAGGCAGCAGAGCACGGCAATCCAACGGAGCACGGCCATTCTCAGTTTGCCATGGCGAGATGGGTGGATTTTCATGGGAAAACCATTGGAAAAATGACCAAAACAGAGGAAACCATAGGTGTTTTATGGTGTTTTTACAATTTATGTGGATTTTGTAAGGAATCTGGTATGATGAGAAGGTGCTTTCCGGTAGGTTTTCGAAATTTCCTATTATAGGATGATGAGATGCGGGCAATTAACCTGGGAAAGGTCTAGGAGCAAGTATTTCGTCATTCATGAGAATGTTTTTTTGGTTTCAAGCACAATAATCACTACAATACCATGTGTATGATGACATATGATGACCATGCTTGGTGGTGACTTGTATCTTCACTCCTGGGGACTTTACATGCAGCAACCCAATATGGTCCTGGATTTCAGAGTGATCATGGCCAATTTCCTGATATTTTCGTTGAATTCACGACACCGGCTGATGATTTCAGTCCTCCTCTGGTGTTCTAGTTCTTTTTTTTTGTTATATTCCATCCTCGATCCCGCTTGGCTCTCCAAATCTCTAAGGCTATGGCGGAACCAAGCAAATCACCGACATTGGTATCAGTGGAGTCAAAGAGTAGCCGTAGACGCAAATCACCTCCGCAGGGGGTGATGGAAATCCTGGTGCTGTGAAGAAAACGGCAACGAAAAACTGATCATGTGCCATGCGCGATGAAAAATGCAGCATGAGAATGCGTCAAAACATGTAGTTACCGTGTCAGTTGCCATCTGCAGCTTGATATATAAGTGTGTGTGTATATATATATATATCATATTGCAATATATGGAGGTTTCCTAGAATATCTAGAATAGGATAGAATACGGGTACCCCCAAATCATCCATTAATATAGATGGATTTTCCCGTATAAAGCATCCAGCTATTGGGTATATATGGATCTCAGTAATTCAGTAGATATTCGTCACTTTCCCCATGGGCCCTTCCGCCTGTTTGAAGTTGATACAATCCACCGACTGACCGGAGCAATAGAGCCCCAGCCGCGCACACAAGGGCACAGCAACCAACAACCCATAGATCATCGATGCAGCCTAAACAAAGGTGCATGAGCGTCAGGTTCACAGTTTAGCGTCACGGCGTAGGTTCGGGGATGACTGAAAATGTAAAGAACCCAAAATACCAGACTGGTCGGAAACGCATGGAAACAGGAATTGGGTATACGGATGTATAAAACATGATCAAATGGGCTACATCGGGTAACCTCCAAGAATGGGGAACCGGGGAACCTCTGTAGCTAACTTCCTTTTGAGAGCTACGGCGTGCTACTGTCGAGGATTTGACGGGTTGAACAGTAATTTTCCTGACTCTTCAGTTCGCATTCCAGATCTTTTTAAATCTATACCGTCTATACCCTAAAAAAACATCCAATTGAAATCTCATAACCTATCATTCGCATTTCCTGGCTGCATGCAAAATCAGTTGGCGGGATATCATGCTAATATGTTGCCAGTGGCACAGAATGGACATATCCCGGAAATACAGCTGATTCGCAGGGTTGTGTCACCGTCCAAATAAGAAATCACCTGAAAATTGGCATTCACTCTGTATGACATGAAACTCCCAAAACATCAACACAGCATGAACCAGCCATCATTTGGGACATATTGGGACATGTTTGGACCACTTCCCAAGGATTCTGACCGTTACCCCCGAGGCTCACTCCACGCTAACCAACGAAAAGTCGGATTTGAAGCTCTGCTCATCCTGACGTGGCCACGGAGCTACTGACACGTGCCGGGGTGCCGCGGCTGACCATGATAACCCCCAGGGTAAACACCCCACCAACGCCGTCAAGATCAAGGAAAATAAGGAAAACTCTAACACTGTTTCTGTTCGACATTTGACATTGAAGGACACAACTTACCGCGGCGATCGATCCGGAAGTTCGATTCAGGGATGTTCAGGATAGTTTCTGGCTTCCGCCGAAAGAATCAAAACTGAAATTCTAATTTGCTACTGCTGCGACTAGCACAACAACTTTATGAAATCCCGACGAAGCAACCGCTTTTCTCGCTCCCATCGGCTTATCCCATCGGTTCCCAGCTTGGCGAACAGCTTTTTTTCGAGGCCTCCATTTCCAGGAGCCGTGCAAAGTTGCCAGTTGCCTTGGCCACTTGGGGATGGTTGGGGGTTAATATGGGTTAATCAGCAGCCATAGGGGATCATGATGTAAAATCACCAACGAAGAAAGGGAGTTGCAGGAGGTTGCAAACCAACCAACCATGGAATGTTATCAGATTATTACGGAACATGGTATGGATGTATGGGAAATTGCCCAATATCTCAGGTTTGGAAAACCTGTCCTGTTTTGGAACGCGCAAAGTTCATGATCTGAACATCTCTGGGCTGCCCGGCGGCCAAGAACAACACAGAGGTGGTGGCCACCCAAAAGGGACCGTAGAAGTCAGGCCTCGAAGTACAACAGTCAGGGTACCCAAATCTCTTCACAAACAAAAATAATCCCTGATTGTTGACATCTTAGTTGTTTCATCATTTTGCCACATGAATCATGGCGAAATTTCGGTCCGATTTGGAAAAAACAAACAAACGTGTCCCGAAAAAACCAACAGCAGGTCCCTGTCCACTTTTTCTCGTTGACCAAGGAATCACCAGCGGGACGTGGTTTTCTGAGTCATCCAGCGTGGACCCGTGGATCTGTGTTTCAGGAGGTCATCATTCCGATTCCCACACATTACGCTCTGGTAATTTAACATAGCTATTGAACATGACCATTTATAGTGGATTTTCCCATGAAAAATGGTGATTTTCCATAGCTATGTTAGTTTACCAGAGGGTAGTTTGCTTTGAAGCGTCCAACATGTTTTGTTGCATCTGAGTCGATTCAAGCTACCATTTAGTAATCCAACCTGGCGACAATCCGTGATATATTGGGGATCTTGCATTGTCATGTTTGACGACAAGGGATACATTGCCCTTTTTTGTATTCCCATTTTTTTTATTCCGAGAAAGAAAACACATGATTGTTGTTGCTTTAGCATCCATCGTCCGACTTCTATTTCTTTGTTGGGTTAAACCGCCGTTCATCGTTCAAGGCCCCACTTTGAATGGGCGAGGTAGGCGCAACCATCACTTTTTATGTTGTTTCAACATGTTGAAAGCACTTCAAAGGAGCTGGTTAAAACATTTTGCTTACCTGAAAAATAGCCTCATCATCCCCCAAAAGGACAACACACAAATCATATAACATTCACGACTCTTTTCCGAGGGTGCAACATCTTTCAACATCTATATATATATATACATTTATATATCCATATATACACCATGGTTACATGGTCACCATGGCTAAACATAAACCAAGTCGCCGTGTGCGGAAGTCGTTGGCTGCATCCTCCTGGCCCTGTCACTTTTGGGGGTGACATGGACTCATGGACAGATTTTGTGACGAAAACACACAAAAAACGTGTGTATCTTCTGGCAAAACTATGTAAACATATGTAAACATGGAACTTGATAGAACTTCATGGAACTTTAAGGAAGATGTCTCTTATGCAGTATATTGAAAAGCTATTGAAGATTCAGTTGCATATTCGGGCATAGGTTACCTCTGGTCAAGTGTATTGGGGGCCCTCCCAAGGCAGATTCAGTGCTGAGAATGACTGTCCAATCCGTGGAACCAGCGAAATAGATGAAATGGCTCAAGACAATATATTAATAGCGTAATGTATATGTATATATATATATAAATAATTGTGTATGTACATGTATGTACATGTATGTACATGTATGTACATGTATGTATGTATGTATCTATCTATCTATGTATGTAATGTAATGTAATGTAATGTAGTGTAATGTTATGTAATGTAATGTAATGTATTGTATTGTATTGTAATGTAATGTAATGTAATGTAATGTATGTATGTATGTATGCATATATGCATATATGTAAGTGAATAAATAGATATATATATATATAAATACAAATAAATTAATGAATAAACCTTCGCATGCTGAGGCGGTGGGACCCACCACACTTAAGCTGGGTTTCGCTGGGGCCGCTTCTTTTGTTGCCGTTCAGCTGGGCTGGTGCAGCTGTTCTGGGGGCGGGTTCGCCGGATTGGCTGGGCAATCTCTTGTGGTAGGGTTGCCGCGGCCGGTCAAAGGGCCTCTGGGTTTGGTGGGGCCAGCCCAATCTTGAACTTGTTTTGTTGTCGTTCAGCTGTCACGCTGCGGGTTTGGCTGACAGCATTGTGACAGCATCATGACCAACCGCCAAAATCGGGGGTCGGCGACACCAGGGCATTAGCCTTTTGTGGGTCCAACGCGTCCCGGTTTGGGGCCACATGGCACCAGACCGCCAGATGCCTGGAAAGGAACCAGGGCCAACTTCAGTCGCTTCAGCACTTCATCTGAACCTCGGCCCAAATCGATTTGATGTGTAGAGTTTGTTATTCACGGCATGAATTTGAAAGCGGAACATCATTCTTAAAGCAGGAGCGACATTTACAGTCCGATAGGTGCAAGGTGCAACCCGGCCCGCCATAAAAAGATGTGTCAAACTTCTGGACCCCATTGAATCATGTGGCCTTCATGTGGTAAACTTTACTGCCTCAACCATTTCCGAGCCCTGAAATGGCAATATTCCAAGCATTTCCAAACCCATGAAATTGGTTTCTCTGTGAATTTAGGGGTGTGGACATAGACCAAGTCGTGACCCAAGTCGTGACAGCGCCAGTCTGGGCAACTGCACTCACGTCAAAGAGCTGCTGAGCATATGAGAGCCAGGAGCCTTCGACCGCGATGGATTTTCCATTAAAAAACATGCAATGTGAGGCCCCCAAAGATAGCTAAGTTGGTGAACATAACTCCAATAACTATGGTTTATGGTATTTATAACGAACTAGTTACTGGGGCTTATAAACCAACTTAGCTATCTTGGGGGCCTCACATTGTGGGAATTTTCTGCAATAGTTCCCTTAGAACTACCATGTTGGCGACGATCACGAACAAATCTGATGCAATAGGATCCAACATGATGGTTGCGCGATCATCACATTGCACCCGCAGTGTTTGTCACTTTCAGGTTCTACAACTGTTCAACCACTTTCTTCAGTTTTTCATGATTCTTGGACCCAACCAGGTAGCAACTTTTTACAACCATGATTTTTTCCTTCACTTCGCCCATGGCTGATATGCCCGTGCTTGGTGGTTGACGTTGCGGACCCCAAAAAGTTGATCAAAAAATGGCAACCCTACGTACCCCGTTTTTTATGGACCTAGAGTCTCAGAATTTGTGCATTTTTAAGGGAACTTGTTACACATATTTACATCAACAAATTTGTACCCGCAGTGATTGATCGTCATTTCGCAGCCTTTTTTTGTCGTCGTTTCCATATGGTTTCCCCAATATTAACCATCGATCGATCATCTAGCGATGGCTATACCGGCTATACCTTCACCGAATACGATTCCAGTTGCGGGGTGACATTTTCCCCTTTGGACGGTGAAGCAGCCCTACACTTACCCTCTGGTAAACATACAAAAAACTATGGAAAATCACCATTTTTAATGGGAAAATCCACTATAAATGGTCATTTTCAATAGCTACGTTAAATTACCAGAGGGTAGATCTTTTAGTTTCGATGCATTTCTTTTGTAGGTCCTTCACTTGGGACCATCATCATCATCATCATCATCATCCCGTTCATTTCGGGATTTTGTTGAACTCTGCACTAAATTTTGCTGATCACTTCTCGGACAATATCCTCTTCTTTTGGGAACATTGCAGGCACTGTACACCAGGACTTTGTTAAGTTATCTACGCAGTGCCCAAAACCCATTAGAACATCTCCACATAATGGTTTGTTCATAGGCATTTCCATCACGGATTCTGATAGCCCAAGAAAACCAACAGATCATCGATGAAAATAATCATGATCATTCATGAATCATAGTTGGATGATCCGAAAATGATCCACAATGGATTATTTTTATAATATATGGGGTATATATTGGGTAGTATGATCCCCCACTAATCACTAATCATCACAGAACCTGCACCTTGCGCCGCCTTGCGCCGCCCTGCGCGCCTGCCCAGCCCTCGACACCCGCAACTCTTTCCTGCGGATGATTGGAGAAGGCATGAGCTCTCAATAAACGGGTCTTGGAGAAAACTCACTTTTGCATCACCATGAAACTTATCCTTTCCTCTCTGACAATATATAATATTATCTTTAGATTCTGAGTTTGCTTTTCCAGGGTCCAAAAGATAGATTCTTCACACGTCCTATGTATGTATGTATGTATGTATGTATGTATGTATGTATGTATGTATATATATATATGTACATACAACATAACATACACATAGTTTACAAATTCGAAACTTCTAAACATATGTCGTCTATATGTCTATATGGGTAGAGGCTGCAGAGGCTACATATACGAACATTTGATGTCGATGAATTTACCCAGCCCTTGCGCCTCTAAGCTGCTGGGGCCTGAAGTCAACATGCCTGGCAGCTGCACAGATGTGTAAGCTATGTATAAATATGTAGAATATGTAGAATGTCTAATATGATCTCAAATAATATCACATATATAAAAAACGAAATGCCACACGCTACACATGTTCTGTCCTGAAACGTAGTGTAACTATTTCTATCTACCTACCTACCTATCTACAAATCTACCAACCTACCTGCCTGCCTGCTTACCTGGCATCTATCTCTCTACATGTATAATCTATCCAGTCTAATCTAATCTAATCTAATTTTCATCTATGTATCTATCTAATCTAATCTAATCTAATCTAATCTAGCTATGTATTTCTATATCTATTGAAACTAATCCGATAATCTAAACTAGTAATTTCATCTAATTTAATCTAATCTACCTTATAGATCCTTATGTGTATGTACATATATGGCATCTATAAGGTAGATTATTTGGATATATATGGATCTATATGGCATATATATATATATGTTTATTTGGATATATATATATATGGCATCATCACCAGCCGCTTTTTGATTTCTTTGACAATGTACTCAGCCCCGCATCCACTTGTGTTATGCTCGCAAGGATTCTTGAAGACACAAAAAGGAGAAGGTTCTGACCTACTAATGGCCCGGTGCCCGCGAATATGGACATCTCAAAACCGATTCGAGAAGTATTCTGAGTCAATTTCAACCATCCAGATCCTTCAATCTCTTCAGACCCAAGCATACACAAAACCTGCAAACATATCTAGGGGATTCCAAGTTTTACATGCCGATAAAACCACAGCAACCCTGCAACCACAACCAAAAAAATGGGGTTGTCAAAATATAGGGCACTCCCCAAAATCCACAGGGAAATTCTCCAGAATTTTCTGTCGATTTGACCTCCAAATCCTCGGAATCCTTGGCTTTGTCCGCCTTGGGTCCAAAACGGAAAGGAAGCGCCAATAGTCTCAGGGTCCAAGCAGTCCAAGGGGACAATACAATGTTCTTGGTAGCAAACATCTAGCAGTTTTGTTTTTTTTTGCGCCCATGATATTTCTAAAGATCACACATGAAGGTCATTGCCAGATAAAAGTCCAGGGGTGCCGGGGTCCACTAGGCTGATGTACCACTAGTACCCATCACCACTTCCCAACTCATCCAGCTCGGAAGTGGAAAATCCACCATGTTGATCCATGTCGATCCATGTTGATTGTTGATGGTTGATGTCTCCATCGGATGGGCTTTTCCAGCCTGCGGGTGGGCCGCCACTGTCCATGACGCCCCTTGGAGCTTCACCTCATCATCATCTTGGTTTATGGGATGGGTTTATGAATGGAACATTAGGGAACACATCATCGAACTTATCAGAAGATCTTCGACAGCAACAAAATTGCTGATACCTCAGCATCACCAAAAGACCTGTGCTTCCCAGTGCTCAATCTTCGATCATCATCCGCTTGGCAGGCGAAAACCAGCATCACTTGCTACTGGGGCAACGATTGGCTACTGGATCGAAAGGATACAGACACAAAATCACCAGCTGGTATACACTGCGCCCGAGAATTGGTTGTTGATCCATCATTTTGGAAATGATTGGGGTTACATCCAAGATGATGCAAACGGATTGCAAGAGTCACCAGTATTTTTTGATGTTGAGCGTCCAGGTCGAGCTCTTATTTTTGATGGTAACCCCATCCCCATAACTCTGTACAGTTGATGGTTAAGTCATGTTCAGTCACCACACTACTTGGTCGGATTTATTGGGGTCAGACTGTCAGACTCAGAAAGTTGGACATCCGAGTGCCCCCACGAAGGGACACTGTGTCGGCCTGCGTCGCTTTACATCGCAAGTTGCGTCTGACATGTCGAGTTGCCGAACTTAAGGACAAACATATAGACATAATCAAACGGCCAACGTCGGATTCGGAAACTTCAGCGTCGGATTCGGAAACTCCCAGGCCCTCGGATTCGGAAACTCCCTCCCCCCCGGATTCGGAAACTTTAGCGTCGGATTCGGAAACTTCCAGGCCCTCGGATTCGGAAACTTCGAAGCCCACGGATTCGGAAACTCCCTGGCCCTCGGATTCGGAAACTTCCTGCCCCCCGGATTCAGAAACTTCGAAGCCCACGGATTCGGAAACTTCCAGGCCCTCGGATTCGGAAACTTCCAGGCCCTCGGATTCGGAAACTTCAAGGCCCACGGATTCGGAAACTCCGTGGCCCGCGGATTCGGAAACTTGCTGCCCCCCGGATTCGGAAACTTCGAAGCCCACGGATTTGGAAACTTCCTGGCCCTCGGATTCGGAAACTTGCAGGCCCTCGGATTCGGAAACTTCAAGGCCCACGGATTCGGAAACTCCCAGGGCGTCGGATTCGGAAACTCGCTGCCCCCCGGATTCGGAAACTTCGAAGCCCACGGATTCGGAAACTTCCAGGCCCTCGGATTCGGAAACTTCCAGGCCCTCGGATTCGGAAACTTCAAGGCCCCCGGATTCGGAAACTCCGTGGCCCTCGGATTCGGAAACTCCCTGCCCCCCGGATTCGGAAACTTCGAAGCCCGCGGATTCGGAAACTGCCAGGGCGTCGGATTCGGAAACTCGCTGTCCCCCGGATTCGGAAACTTCGAAGACACGGATTCGGAAACTTCCAGGCCCTCGGATTCGGAAACTTCAAGGCCTTCGGATACGGAAAGTTGCGGCTCCCCCTGGATTCGGAAACTTGAATTTGGGATTTAGAAATAGCATTGGTGTGGAAACTCCCAGCGCCGAGATCTCAAAAAAAACAAACTGCATTGTGGAAAAAAGAACATTCCGGATGTAGTTCGTCGGATTGATCTGAAAATGCAAACTGATCTCCTATATGTATAGACTCACTGATGCAATCCGAATGGTTGATCATACACGAATCCAATGTATCCCAATATTGACTGGTGTTTCCCATCATTGGGAATCACTTACATGCAAGTGCAGCTGATGCCTTGTCAAACTTACAGCAGCAGGATTTATACCAATGATCACTTGACGCAAACAGTGAGAATGCGGACAAGTGAACAATTCCTTTATATCTGGAGTGTATATGGTCTATATGCATGATATGCATGTAGAATGGGCGACAACGGTCCATTGATCTACTTTGAGTTCCCATAACTATTCCGCCTCCGCCAAACACGACATCCTACTGTAAACTATGCTCTGCCACGTCATCGGCAGCTGGTCATTCATGTTTCCAGGTGATGGCTGAATCTGCTATAGCTGCTATACAGTGCTAGTGGAAAATTCGGGGATTTGTGCGCGTAAAAGTTACTGAGATTTTACTGTTCAAATGAAACCTGCAGACTCCAGAAAAACTCATTGCCATCAAGAATATATACAGAATATGTGTATACTTTATACTGTATATATATATAATTGAAAGGGAATACACAATCTAGAAAATAAATGAGAAATTACCAGTAGTACTGCGCAAGGCGGTGGCGGAAGTTTCAAAAATAGGAAATCTATAGGCAGGGTGTGCCGGGCATGCCGTAGAATGGGAACCGGACCGAGTGAGAAGAACTCTATGCAAGGGAAGGATGTGCATTGAGGACTACCATTGCATGCAGAGCTTTGGGGGGGGGGAAGTTTAGAAAATGACTTGCAATCGTGACAAGAACTCTGTGAAAGGGAAGGATGTGCATTGAGGACTACCATTGCATGCAGAGCTTTGGGGGGGGGGAAGTTTAGAAAATGACTTGCAATCGTGACAAGAACTCTGTGAAAGGGAAGGATGTGCATTGAGGACTACCATTGCATGCAGAGCTTTGGGGGGGGAGAAGTTTAGAAAATGACTTGCAATCGTGACAAGAACTCTGTGAAAGGAAAGGATGTGCATTGAGGAATACCATTGTATGCAGAGCTTTGGGGGGGGGGAAGTTTAGAAAATGACTTGCAATCGTGACAAGAACTCTGTGAAAGGGAAGGTATGCATTGATGACTACTATTGCATGTAGGGCTTTGGGGGGGGAAGGTTAGAAAATGACTTGCAATGGTGACAAGAACTCTATGCAAGGGAAGGATTTGCATTGAGGAATACCATTGCATGCAGGGCTTTGGGGGGGGAAGTTTATAAAAAGACTTGCAACCGTGAGAAGAACTCTATGCAAGGGAAGGATGTGCATTGAGGAATACCATTGTATGCAGAGCTTTGGGGGGGGGAAGTTTAGAAAATGACTTGCAATGGTGACAAGAACTCTATGAAAGGGAAGGATGTGCATTGAGGAATACCATTGTATGCAGAGCTTTGGGGGGGAAGTTTATAAAAATGACTTGCAACCGTGACAAGAACTCTATGCAAGGGAAGGATGTGCATTGAGGACTACCATTGCATGCAGAGCTTTGGGGGGGGAAGTTTAGAAAATGACTTGCAATGGTGACAAGAACTCTATGAAAGGGAAGGATGTGCATTGAGGACTACCCTTGCATGCAGAGCTTTGGGGGGGGGGAAGTTTAGAAAATGACTTGCAATGGTGACAAGAACTCTATGCAAGGGAAGGATGTGCATTCAGAAATACCATTGCATGCAGAGCTTTTAGGGGGGGAAGTTTAGAAAATGACTTGCAATCGTGACAAGAACTCTGTGAAAAGGAAGGATGTGCATTGAGGAATACCATTGTATGCAGAGCTTTGGGGGGGGGGAAGTTTAGAAAGTGACTTGCAATGGTGACAAGAACTCTATGAAAGGGAAGGATGTGCATTGAGGAATACCATTGTATGCAGAGCTTTGGGGGGGGAAGTTTATAAAAATGACTTGCAACCGTGACAAGAACTCTATGCAAGGGAAGGATGTGCATTGAGGACTACCATTGCATGCAGAGCTTTGGGGGGGGAAGTTTAGAAAATGACTTGCAAAGGTGACAAGAACTCGATGAAAGGGAAGGATGTGCATTGAGGAATACCATTGTATGCAGAGCTTGGGGGGGGAAGTTTAGAAAATGACTTGCAATGGTGACAAGAACTCTATGCAAGGGAAGGATGCGCATTCAGAAATACCATTGCATGCAGAGCTTTCGGGTGGGAAGTTTAGAAAATGACTTGCAATGGTGACAAGAACTCTATGCAAGGGAAGGATGCGCATTCAGAAATACCATGGCATGCAGAGCTTTTCGGGGGGGAAGTTTAGAAAATGACTTGCAATCTTGACAAGAACTCTATGAAAGGGAAGGATGTGCATTGAGGAATACCATTGTATGCAGAGCTTTGGGGGGGGGAAGTTTATAAAAATGACTTGCAACCGTGAGAAGAACTCTATGCAAGGGAAGGATGTGCATTGAGGACTACCATTGCATGCAGAGCTTTGGGTGGGGGGAAGTTTAGAAAATGACTTGCAATCGTGACAAGAACTCTGTGAAAGGGAAGGATGTGCATTGAGGACTACCATTGCATGCAGAGCTTTGGGGGGGGGAAGTTTAGAAAATGACTTGCAATCGTGACAAGAACTCTGTGAAAGGGAAGGATGTGCATTGAGGAATACCATTGCATGCAGAGCTTTGGGGGGGGAAGTTTAGAAAATGACTTGCAATCGTGACAAGAACTCTGTGAAAGGGAAGGTATGCATTGATGACTACTATTGCATGTAGGGCTTTGGGGGGGGAAGTTTAGAAAATGACTTGCAATGGTGACAAGAACTCTATGCAAGGGAAGGATTTGCATTGAGGAATACCATTGCATGCAGGGCTTTGGGGGGGGGGAAGTTTATAAAAAGACTTGCAACCGTGAGAAGAACTCTATGCAAGGGAAGGATGTGCATTGAGGAATACCATCGTATGCAGAGCTTTGGGGGGGGGAAGTTTAGAAAATGACTTGCAATGGTGACAAGAACTCTATGCAAGGGAAGGATGCGCATTCAGAAATACCATTGCATGCAGAGCTTTTCGGGGGGGAAGTTTAGAAAATGACTTGCAATCTTGACAAGAACTCTATGAAAGGGAAGGATGTGCATTGAGGAATACCATTGTATGCAGAGCTTTGGGGGGGGGGAAGTTTATAAAAATGACTTGCAACCGTGAGAAGAACTCTATGCAAGGGAAGGATGTGCATTGAGGACTACCATTGCATGCAGAGCTTTGGGGGGGGGAAGTTTAGAAAATGACTTGCAATCGTGACAAGAACTCTGTGAAAGGGAAGGATGTGCATTGAGGACTACCATTGCATGCAGAGCTTTGGGGGGGGGAAGTTTAGAAAATGACTTGCAATCGTGACAAGAACTCTGTGAAAGGGAAGGATGTGCATTGAGGAATACCATTGCATGCAGAGCTTTTGGGGGGGAAGTTTAGAAAATGACTTGCAATCGTGACAAGAACTCTGTGAAAGGGAAGGTATGCATTGATGACTACTATTGCATGCACATGTAGGGCTTTGGGGGGGAAGTTTATAAAAAGACTTGCAACCGTGAGAAGAACTCTATGCAAGGGAAGGATGTGCATTGAGGAATACCATTGCATGCAGAGCTTTGGGGGGGGGAAGTTTAGAAAATGACTTGGAATCTTGATAAGAACTCTATGCAAGGGAAGGATGCGGGACAGGGTGGAGTTGCTGAATCGGGACAGGTTGGAGTTGCTGAATCGGGACAGGGTGGAGTTGCTGAATCGGGAGAGGGTGGAGTTGCTGAATCGGGACAGGGTGGAGTTGCTGAATCGGATGGAGTTGCTGAATCGGGAGGGGGTGGAGTTGCTGAATCGGGAGGGGGTGGAGTTGCTGAATCGGGACAGGGTGGAGTTGCTGAATCGGGACAGGGTGGAGTTGCTGAATCGGGACAGGGTGGAGTTGCTGAATCGGGACAGGGTGGAGTTGCTGAATCGGGACAGGGTGGAGTTGCTGAATCGGGACAGGGTGGAGTTGCTGAATCGGGACAGGGTGGAGTTGCTGAATCGGGACAGGGTGGAGTTGCTGAATCGGGACAGGGTGGAGTTGCTGAATCGGGACAGGGTGGAGTTGCTGAATCGGGACAACCCGGAGTTTCTGAATCCTTGGAGTTTCTGAATCGGAGTTGCTGAATCGGAGTAAAAAGTTTCTGAATCGTAATTTATTCTAATCAAACACATTCAAAAATTGACACTTAAACATATCAATTAGACATAATCAGACATAATCAGACTAATAGACATATTCTTACAATTGATCTTTATAGTTGACTCTTGTGAATGTTTGTCAATTTTTGGACTGGTGTAGGAACTGAACGAACGCATCATACGTTCCTAATTGGTGATATGTGACCTCTGCAAAAACACGATGCGTTTTTTTGCCATCTAATGGGCTGTTCCATGGCTGGGGAATCCATTTTTAATGATCCACAAATGGATATGTTGGGAATTTCCGATTGTCAGGTCCAATTTCCACAAGGTATATCAAAGAAGACAAGATTTGAGTAGGGTACCCCAATCTTAAAAGGATTATCATCATATTATCATGTTTCTGGTTCATTTGCCAAACCCTGATATCGAACGTCAACGGTGCCTCTGTGGCTACTTGGCCTCCTCTGGCCTTGCGAGTGGTAACTGCTGGTAAATTCTGCATCTCAATTCATCTAACAGAACTGCTGGTATCTGCTGGTGGTGGTATCTGTTGGTATCTGTTGGTCATGTAACCTCGACTTTCTCAATGAGAAAACGACACTTTGGGACCGGAGATGAGAACTGAATTCTGGAGGACAACTCAAGGTCAGCCCAAGACGGTCAGTGATCCAAGATCTTCCCATGAGGCCATGGCTCACCTGCCCTTCAATTGGTTTACCCATACTTTTTGATGATAAAGCCCAAGTTTCCGGTTAAGTAAATCATAGTAAACCCACGTTCTTCCGCAGTTACCCTCTGGTTATTTAACATAGCCATGGAAAATCACCATTTTTAATAGGTCAACCATCTATAAATAGGCCATCTATACCATGGCTATGTTAAATAACCAAAGGGTAAATCATGTTAAATTCCAATTTTGGATGGACCAGACTGCGCAAAACACATCTGTCGACCTCCTCCCCGCTCAAGGGCACCATTTGGCTGCCACCTTTCCAGATGGTGACCAGCTGGATGTGCAAAAAAAACTCCGAAAACATGTCATAATAATCTATAATAATAATCTATAATAATAATCTAAAATAATAATCTAAAATAATAATCTATAACAATAATCAATAATAATAATCTATAATAATAATCTATAATAATAATCTATAACAATAATCCATAATAATAATAATCAATAATAATAATCTATAATAATAATCTATAACAATAATCCATAATAATAATCTATAATAATAATCTATAATAATAATCTATAATAATAATCTATAATAATAATCTATAACAATAATACATAATAATAATCAATAATATTAATCTATAATAATAATCTATAATAATAATTTATAGTAATAATCTATAATAATAATCTATAATAATAATTTATAATAATAATCTATAATAAAAATCTATAATAATAATCTATAATAATAATCTAACAAACAATAATCCATAATAATAATCAATAATGATAATCTATAATAATAATCTATAACAATAATTTATAGTAATAATCTATAATAATAATCTATAATAATAATTTATAATAATAATCTATAATAATAATCTATAATAATAATTTATAATAATAATAATCTATAATAAAAATCTATAATAAAAATCTATTATAATAATCTATAATAATAATTTATAGTAATAATCTATAATAATAATTTATAATAATAATCTATAATAATAATTTATAATAATAATCTATAATAATAATCTATTACAATAATCTATAAAAATAATCTATAATAATAATCTACAATAATAATTTATAATAATAATCTATAATAATAATCTATAATAATAATTTATAATAATAATAATCTATAATAAAAATCTATAATAAAAATCTATTATAATAATCTATAATAATAATTTATAGTAATAATCTATAATAATAATTTATAAT